TTAAAGAATACGTATTGGAACAAGCTGTAATTTGCACACAAGTATATAAGCGTGGAAGTGAAATAGCTGAAATTATTCAGTGTGCTCAAAAGGAATATCTGCATTGATGCAGGACACCTCTTTCTGCCAGTAAGATCTGTATTCATACCACATATGTGGTATCATTTTAACACTTATAAAACAGTTTACTTTTCGTACACAGATGAGTTCTTTCTAATTCACCGACAATGCAGTAATTTAGTCTTCTAACTGCCCACAGAAAATAAAATAAAATAAAATAACCAGATAGGTTGAAGACCAGCTTCAAAACTCAACAGCATTTATGGATTCCAGCAGACTTTTCAATCAGCCCAGTGTATCAAAAATTTAAACTACTGTAATGAATATATACTGCCCTGTTACAATACTAGAGAAGCAAAGTAAGATTGCTTCAAATTAATCTGATGAAAAAAAGGAATTTCATCCAGAAATGCTCTGATACACTATGTAAAAAACGAGCACTAATAAGGCAGAAAAAGTAAAGACAATTTTGGTTATTACCAGCTATGTAAATTGACAATTACACCTGCAAGTAAGTTTAGGGTAAATATGCCAGGATTCCCAAAAATTCCTATCTCCAGAAACAGTTCTTCATTCACAGGTTTTATCTACAATGACGCTGTTCAAAGATAGTTCAAAATGCAAGCAATTACAATGGTTCTCAACTAATCATAAATTAATTTTGTGTTGTGGTATCTATGATAGCAAATAGGGAGTTTTACATTCTTAATTCTACAGATGCTACTGTCACTCATTTTTGCTTATGAAACACATTGCTGTGCATACTGGCACTTCAGCATGATTTAAGAATATGAATTATATTTTAACTGGGCTAATTCTCCCTACAATCCTAATAGTACATCAGAGCAAACAGATCAAATTTAGATGCAGATTCCCTCTCAGGTTTCAAACAAACAGAGAAACAGAATTATTTCAACTCACATTGAAAACAGTAATCTTAACTGCATATGTTAATTGTAAGATGTTGTTAACGTGCAGTTCTAAAGGAAAAAGTGAGCTGCATCTGTGAAGTAATGACTAATAAAAAAGAAAAAAAAGGCACATCATAGTGGAGAGTCAGGGAAACTTTTGCCTGTAGAGATATTGCAGTACAGAAAGAAATCCCTGTGATTTTATCCTCTTGCTTACAAGACCATAGAATCATAAGATACTACAATAAACTCAAATATACGAAATCACAAAATATTTTAACAACTACCACAGTAACATCTTCAGTGTCATCAAGGAAATGGAAAACTAAAATTTATAACTGCACTGGACATTAAAAATCTGGAACTCAATTAAAATAAAAAATTTGTGTACGTAATAGTTTTCATATGTCCTAATCCCAAATTACAGAATCACAGGATTGTAGGAGCTGGAAAGGACCTCCAGAGATAATCGTATTCAGCACCAAAACTAAAGTTTTTGCCAATTTAAACTCAAACATGCACAAATAAATGCACGAATTCCATCACCATCATTTCCAGTTTCTAATTTTTACAGATGTTCCACACCTTTCTGTAGGCCAACGTAAGATTCACTGGTACATAGTGAACTGATTCTGTGAAATTATTTACTCAAAAAACACCTGACAAAAAAAAAGGTTTTCTTTGAACTTTGTCTTACAAAAATTGTTTTGTCTGTGTGTGTCTTCAGAAGTTACTCCATCAGTTTCAGACCTGAAAGAGAACTTGTATTTCTGAAAGCTTAGCTACTTTTAAGAACTACGCCCATAACAAAACAATGGAAGATGCTACTCCTCCCAGTGACCTTCTCCCACAAAGATCCTTATATCACCAGTACCTACAACAGAATTGTAACCATTTCCACAAAATTCCAGTCACTACTCTACCTCGCTATCCAATGACCTATGTGTACTTTTAAGAAGAATAACTTCATAAAGAAATAATTTTTTAAAATATTCTCTCCTTTCACTCCTAGGTTTTCAAACTTTGATTGTGTAAAATTCAGGTGTTTCTGACACTTTGCATACTGTCACTTCAGCTTTCAGTTGACGATTCCCATGTTATTTTAATAGTACTATTCATTTTATATTTGATATATATTTTTCAATTTCAGAATATTCACTTTGCTAAGAAATAGGCCTGTTGCACATACATAAAACAAATTACTATAATCTACTAATTACTATATAAACTATACTCATACATGCCTTACACAACAGTTCATTTGTAATCTGAGATCTCCATCAGCGATACTGCTAAAAATTTGGGAATACATACTAACATGTTACAATGAAGGGCATACAGTTTAACCACATACAATTCCAGTACTGAACAAAATCTGTTTCCTTAACTCTTAAAACAAGACTGAAGAAAACATTACAACCTGTACCTTAGTGCTATCTCTATATCTGAATGCCATGATAAGCTTCTGTGCCTCGTTCTTCAAGATCACAAAAGCCAAGCACTCAAAATTATCTACTTCGGTTACCTGCTGTTTTTTTCTTACTTACATTTTTCCTTACAGTTCAAGAAAATAAATTTTTTTCAGTTGAAAAGTGAATAGCAGTAAGAAAGAATTACCTGAAATAATCTATCAGCAAATCATATTCAAAAGCAGAAATATGCAATACATTATTAAAGATAAAGATAACCCTAGAAATCTAAGCAATTATATTAATAGATTTCTTAAAAGAAGAAAAGAACTGTAGATATAGAAAGCTGGATAGGCATTGAAAGACTAGGTTTGGAGATTTGTAGATTTAAAAACCATCTGTAATCGTCTGTTCTGACTCTCACTCACAGTCCAGGAAATTTCACCCTGTAATTCCTTTTACAAGCCCTACCATTGTATGTGAGTTAGACAGTGTTTTTACAAAGACACCCAGTGGAGCATTAGCTACCTAGATAGTAATAATCCATTCTGCCACCTGATTATCCTCACTATAATTACTATCCATCATACTTCTAATAGTTTGAGAGGCAGATTCTTTCTTTCCTGTGCCAAAAAGGCAATTGAGTCTATTTCTCTAAACTCTACGTGCATGGTTTTCTCAAATCCTGGACTGAATAGCATGACTGTAGCCTTTTAGTGGGCTGAGGTACTTCATTTCTTAGTACGCATTTTGAAAGCATAGCGAGAGTTGTACAAATTTCTTCACCAGTTGTGAAATTCCTCTTGAAAATTCACATTGATTTATGCGTGCACAGAGAAGATCTGCAAGATACCAGCTCGAGGATTAAAGTAGTATTTCTAATAAAAGCCTATTAACTGTATCATTGTAGAAGTCATGTAGAAAATATCTGGAATATCTGAAAGTCAAGAAACTGAATCTTTTGTCCTTTCTAAAACAAATCTGTGTGGATATATCCAATATAAACCTTAAAGTAAACGACACCTAACTCTATCACAAACTTCTCAGAATTAAGTCAATCAAGAAAACATTGTAGTATCATAACTCAGTATACATACGAAAGATAGTGGCTAAACTCTGACAGTGATTAATATCTTCTACTGCAGACTGCTTAGTATCTATCCTTGAAACTAATAGCCTTACTGAGCAACACAAAACGCGTATGCTTGGGAGGTCAAAATACATTAACTGCGAAGTATCACTGAGTCACCCTACCAGCAGGACAACATTGTCTGCCCTATGCCAAAGAAAATAAATACATAAATAAATAAATAATTACAATAGCATTAGGACAAGAACTGCAACTGAACTGACTAAAATTATCCCTGAGTAGACTTGTGATGTTAAGCAGAGAATACATTTTCAAACAGTGCTAATGATGGCTTTCGTACATTTGCTGCCTAGGAAACAACAAGAAAAAAAGGAACTGTTTACCTGGTCCTGAGAGATATGAAGGATCTTGGCTCAGCTCAAAATCACATTGCTGAGGATCTGCTGTGCTATGCTGATCTTCACACCTTTACTCAGCAGCAACTCAGCAACAACAAACACTACGCATTGCCAGAAGAGAGCTGCCTAAAAAGAACAACATGTTAAAAAGGGAAAATACCAGGAATTGTATCCTCCTGTGGCGTGGTGACCACCGAGGGCAAGCAGACTACCATAAAAGAATTAAAGTACCATTGCAGAATTAATTACAATTAGGAATGTGTAAAAAGAGATTTGGTTGAGCTAAGCAGCAACGTAAGTTAGCAAAAAGAGGAAAGCATCTTCCAAAACACTTCAGAGTTAGCAAATGAAGAAAACAAAAAGAATTGCAACCTATTATACATAAAATTAAAAAAAAAACTAGACAGTGGGAAAAAAAAATCTGAAACATACCTAACTAAATAACAACTAAATCCACTACTAAATGGGAAAAATGTGCGCAAGAGATCTGTATTGCTAATTAATGGTCAAGGAGTAATGAAGCACTCAAAAAAGAAGAGGCCAGATTTAAATGAATCATTTGTGTTGTTACTCACAACCTCCTTAGGTTGAATGTCACTGTTGTTGATGCATGCAGCACAAGGGCTGTGTGGTCTTGTGACGAAAAGAACAGCCACAACCTGATAATACTCACAATCTATAAGAGAAATCAATGACCAAAAAAAAAAAAAAAAAAAATAACTATTAATTGGGCACACGACCCACTTAAGATTTCTTTGTATGTTTATTTTGTAGTGCCAGAATTCAAGTGTCACTTTCAAAGTAAAATATAGCAAAATATGCCAAAATATACCGGTAGCAGCCGGAAATACTAAACGTGCGTGCAACTGCCCCCAACTCAACCAACGGCGGGGCTCGCTCGCTCGCACCGCTCCGCCCACACCTAAGAGAACCACTTCATACCCTCCACCCTCCCCCATCCCACCCCACAGCGATAAAAATGGCGGTGGGGGAGGACGCGGGCGGCACAACCCCGCCTCCGAGGCCCGGAGCGCGTCCAATCGCAGGCTGCCGCTCAGGACCACGTGATTTTGTTGCGAATAACTACAGCTCCCATCATGCCCCTGAGTGCGCGGTAGCTTCTTCCGTGTCGTCACTTCCGCCAGTCCCAGAGGGCGCCGGGCGTGCTGCGGGAAGGTCGTACAGGGGAGAGGCCGCTGTGTTCCGTGTCGGTATCATGCTGGCTGCTGGCGTCCGTAGATTCACCACCTCCGTCCTCCGTAGGACCCACTACGAGGATGGGCCTGGGAAGGTACTGTGCGGGAAGGAGGTCTTAGTGCTGCGGGACGGTCTGATGATTGCGGGCAGGAATGGGCCTGGAGGGGAAGGAGAAAGCGGGGGGAAGGGAAGGAGGGAGATCGGGCAGATGTCGGTTGTAGTCTGAGGGAGAACAGGTAGGGAAGGAAGGCAGGAGACGGGAAAGACGCGGCGCTGGTGGCCCGCGGGCAGGCTTAGCAGGGTGTCTTGGCCTCGTCAATCAGGTGCCCTCAGTGCAGCATAGGGCGCGGTCCAGGCCTGGTATGGCCAGAAGCACAAGTGGGGTCAGGTGCAGGCCCGACCTGTGGCAGGTTTGCTGAAGGTGAGCGTGTCCCATCATCTACAGAGTTTTGTATGTAATTGGGCTTGCAGGCCTTGAATAGCCAAGTCGTAGTTATCCCATTGCCTGTTCTCTAGTGCAGTTGCTGTGCAGTTTCATTGTACTGCTGTTAATGAATGCAGCAAAGCAAGCTGCAGTGACTTCAGTGTCCTTCTTTGTAGCCTTCTATGGTACAGATGATGAGCTCTGCAGTATGAGTAGAAACGCTGATGCTGTAAACGCTTTCTGATGTGCCATTATGCTCCAAGGGTTCTCTTGAATTCTGTATCTAAAAACTAGATTTATACTTACCTTGAGAAATACAGTCTTTCTTACAAAGATGTTTAACTATTAAAGCAGGTTGCATGGAGATGCTGTGGGGCCTGTATAGTAAGCAATGGACTCTAGGACATTTACAGTTGATTGGACAAGGTTTTGAGCAGGCCAGTTTCCTTTGGCCTATGTATGATTGGAAGGGTGTTGGGCAAAACAACTTCCAGAGGTCATATCCATGCCACTGTAATGACTGACTGGGTCTTTAGACATGAAAAGAAGGGGGTAATGGTTGGGGGATTCATTTTTATTATCAGTTGTAGTTCTTGTGTTAGTGCTCTGGGCTTCTTACTATTGTCATGCAACTGAAGAAGTGATTAAGGTGTGTTATACTGATTGCAGAACAAACATTTATGTTTCTTTTCTAGAACCTTCCATTTTCTGTGGACAACAAATGGCGGTTGCTGGCAATGATGTGTGCATTCTTTGGAAGTGGATTTGCTGCTCCTTTCTTTATTGTCAGACATCAGCTTCTTAAGAAATGAAGGGGAAAAATTGTATGTACACTTAGTGGGTAAATGATTTTGGTGTTCTAGCACAGTAGAAACTGAACTAATCTGAGGAGTCTAATCTCATTTACAGCATCTCACAGTCTTCTTACTTATATCAGTTTGTGGTTTGCACTTCCATTTAAACTGAAATGATGCATGGGCTTCAGTTAGCTTTACTGGAATACTGAAGTCATTGATATGTGAATCTTAAATCCCCAAGTGTCAGCCTCCTTGATTATAGCCTTTATAGCCTGCAACTGGTCTAACTGGTAGTGAGCTTCACTGGTAGTGAAGTCCAGCTGATTTGGACAGTAACTGTAAAATAGCCATCTTTGACAAAACAAAGCTGTACATCACATAATATATAAAGATATCTGGCATATATGATGTGAATGAAGCAGTATGAGAATCTGTGATACTGTAAACGCTTTCTGATGTGCCAGATAAAACTCAGCAGAAAGCAAAATCTTCAGCTTCAGTTCAGCCATTTCAGAACAATCACAACATTGACATGGTGCAGAGTGCACTTAAAATAAGGAAATTAACATCAGGTGCTATGGTAACTGGTGCTTGCTAATGATACTGATAGACCAAACATGCTTCAGCCATTGTTTCTGTTCTGAAAGCATGCCACAGTGGAGGGCTGTTTTAGTTTATTTTAAATTTATTCCACTTTACAGAATTAATAGCACCAGTTATTTCTAATCTGAGAAATGTGGGTTTTTTGAGGAGCTGGGTTGGCTGAGCTAGTTTTTGGAAGGAAATAATTATCAGTGAAATCTCAATTGGAATAAGTTGCAAAGTCATTCATATCACCTGTGTAATTCTTTTGCCAGTCTTACGGTTTTATCAAAGTTAAATTATACTTTTATAAGTTTTACTAGATGCACATGTAATACAAAGTTCTTAAATTTGTTAATTCTTGTGTGTTTTCTTGCAGAGTTGAAGTCTTACAGCAGCTTAAGTGGAAAAAATATCTGCGGTTGTGTACCATGCTGGATATGTCTAAATAAAATTTAAATCTGAAATTCCTGGATGGTGTATTTTGTGAAACTGCTGAAGTGCTTTTTAAAACCAGTGTGTACTGAGAAACCCTTCAACTTGCAGTATGTTAACATTAAGCTAAATGCTAATTTTTTTAGTTCTTAAACTAGGGAGAAGAAAAAATCCAGTCTCAAAATTGAATTTGGGCTTAAAAATTTTAGTTGGCTGGATACAGAGCCAACACAGCCAAAGCTGTGTGGTCTTTGATAGTGTTCAAACTACACTTAAAATAATGACCTGTGTAGATCATAGCCATTAAGTGCGTCATCAAGTTTGATCATTACTATCACTGTAAATACATGTTGCAGAATTTCTATTTTCAGTATTTCAGACTGACAAGAATATTTGTTTCTATACTCACTCATTCTGGGGAGCTTGTGTTACTGTATTTCATTAGTATGTGGCACTGTCTTGAGCAGGAACACAAGCGTTGCCCTGCACATTTCATTTGTCTTTAGGCTCAGGTTGGGACGTAGCTATGACACAGTTAGCAGCAGTAATTACAACACCAACTAGAAAATGCATCGATAATAAAAATTGCATAACTTATCAAAACTTTAATAGGATAGTACTTCAAATTGGTAGGTGTTGGAAAGAATTGATAACTGCAAGACTGCATTTGTATTCTCAGCATGCAAGATCCTTCCTAACATCGGGCTTCTGTAACCAAAAGCAATGTTAAGTGCTGATTAGCAAGATTAAGAAACTTCTTGCAACAGGAAGGAGTACAATGTATAAACTACCAGTTTTGTCAGCATGGGAAGGAAGTCATTCTCCTGCATGCTTTTTTTGTGACTACTTCGTTGGCTAAATACAATGTCTGAAAGGCACTAGCATTACCCAGTAATGGTTACCTGACTTTTGCAAATAATGTTTTTAACTGGTAAGTATTATGAGTTGCTTTCCTTGAGTGATGTTTATTTTCCTCTATAAAACCCTTCTACTTGTAGTACAGTATACAATTTAGGTTGTAATATCTGTCAGTCACTGAACTGAGAGGTTGCTTTGCTCAAATTGTACTAATATTAATTTCATCAAATACCATAAGCAGAAAAGTATATGTGAACAATAAAACATTAGTTGTAACTGTAATATTTGGGTACTACATTCTTGTTCCTACTGATGCCAGTCAACAGCATTTTAAAGGCACTTGAAGAGACTAAGCTGGGAAGAGTAGAAAATAGTCTGTTTTACCAAATCTGTCAGTAAAGTTAAAAGGAACCTTTCTGCAACATGGTAATTTAAATAAATGTTGGAGAGAAGTGACTGAAGAAAAGATTCTGAGGAAAGATGCTAAGCTGTGAAGGATTCAGTTGGCAAAAATTTATCATGGTGATATACATATATGCACAATTTGTTCCTTGCTAAGTGTGCCATTGCATTTCAAAGAGTGTGTGTTTGTGGTGGGAATGTAGTGATGTGACTAGGAATGTAAAAAGGTGGCCATGTCTTGGTCATGGTGTTGGGACTTCTTTCAGGAGATGTTGAAGGAAACCTGGATGAACCTTATTAAGCAAAAGTCAAAATGAAGCTTCTAGATTCCAAAGTGTTGCCTCCTATTGCAGATCAGCAAGCTGAATGTGCTTATAGCAGCAGTTTCCATAGTGAAACTGTTCTTGCACAAGGCAAGCCTAATAGAAGCCAGTTACAGAATCATGTGTCTCTTAGCAATACAAATACAACTTAAAGAGTATGTTTACATACAGCTGTCTCATCAAGTCTGCTTGAAAGTAACTTGCTTTGTCTTTTTCCTCTTAACTCCCAAGTCCTTGATGTATTAGAGTAAGCATATTCTGTGAAGTTTTATCTCATGAGCTGGGCAAGCCAGTGCATTTAATCTGTTTAATTTTAGGTCTTCTTTTTTTCACCTTCTCTGTACTTTTTTACATTTTTGATCAGGGTGGTTAAACAGTTATTTTAGATGAAACTTTAGAGTCTCCTTTCATTATGGATTCTAAAACTGATGATATTTCTTTCACAGTGGTATTACATTGATGGATCATAATCATTTAGAAAAAAAAAAGGTCCTGGGGCTACTAGTTAATGAGTTGGAAATTATGATTCTGCTTCCATCCCTGCTACCAGCTTATAAAAATTACCACTATGAATCACAGTAGCCATAAACTTACATTTTCTTCCATTTTACTTAATTTATGTAAGGAATACTCTGAGGTAACAGTCCGAGCTTCTACTGTGCTGGTGGCTGTCGCCTACTTTTACCTGTTTCTAGCCTTCTGTACTGATATAAACTACATCTTCCTTTTTTCAAATAAGCTAGCTTACTAAATGTAGCATATTAGCAATATGCTCTCATCCAATAAATTATCATTTGATAAAATCCTACATCCCTTTATTAAGAAAATTTAGTAGAACCTTGTAAATTTTTAAATCTTCCCACTTGTGTAGGAGGTACTGGTGGCCATCCAGAGATACATGGCTCCTGTTAATATCAGTATGTGGCTCAATTTAGAGCTAGATTTACTGATTGCATTTGCTTTTCTGCTGTTACTGGAATGCATTTGCTTATAATGTAAATTCATTCACCTTCCCTCTAGAATTTTTTTTTTCCCATACTGTATTTTTCAGTGATTCTGGCCTTAGTCTTTTTTGCTTTACCTATTCTGCTTTTTCCTGAATCTTTCTATTCTTGCTAATTGATTACTGAATGGTTGAGCCAGACAAACTTGTTTGGACTTTTAAATGTATGTACCACTAACCATTTTTTGTTGCATGCTCCCTTCTATTCCTATCTTCTCAGGGTGGGAAACTCCATCACAGCAAAAAGCTGGAGCCCTGCTCTGGAGACAAATCTTGGCAAAAACATTGCTTAATTTGAAGTAGTAATGCCTGGCTTGAACAGGTGTTTGCTGAATGGTTAGGTCTTGTCTTTATGTCATGTAGAAGAGAGTAGGCCAGTTCCACAGCCTGGCAGCATTTACCTTGTACCATAGCAGAAGTTCGGGGATATTTGAAGTAAAGTTGTGAATCAATAATTTTTGCTGACTTCAGAGGAGCCAGAATCTCATCCAGGAATGACTACTCTATACAAATTCACATCACAGATAGTTACCTAACCCTGAGTGATTCCAGAGATGGAAGTGACAGTCATTATACATATGTATGAACAAACTAATACTTAGTAGCAATAATTGTTATCAGATTCATTAAACAAGAGCTCTAGAAATAAGTTTTGAAAAACATAGGGTAGATTTCATCATAATTATACAGTAGTTTGAGTATACATAAGATGAAGTACTTATTTTTAAAATAATCCTTTGTGTTCCTTTTAGGACATCTTCAATTGATAGAAGGTAAATCAGTTGAGAAAGTGGAGTAGAAAGGTAAAGCTTGTACAGGCTTCATGCAGCAGGCAAAAAGCAGTACGTAAATGGTGCTTCAGTATCATTAGAATTATTCACAAGAAGCAAGGCAGCAGTAAAAGTCATCTTTGTGAATGATAAAATAGTTTGCTTGCTGGATGTCAATCAAAAGGATAACTTTTCATGGTCCCTGATCCCAGATTACTTTTTTTTTTTTTTTTTCTTTTTATAATTTCTCTTTACAAAGTCTGTTCTGGCTCAAACCTAAGGCTTTCACTTTGTTTCCATAGGGGCTCATACTTCAATATGTTTCAGCTAGATATCAGGAAGAAGTTCTTTTCTGTGAGAGAAGTGAGACACTGGAACAGGTTGTCCAGTGAGGTTGTGGATGCCCCCTCCCTTGGACACTGAGTGAATCAGGATGGGGCTGTGAGCAACCTGGTCTAGAGGGAGGTGTTCCTGCCTATAGCAGGGGCTTGGAACTAGATGATCTTAAAGGTCTGTTCCAACCCAAACCATTCTGTGATTCCATGTTAATGATGTTAGTTAATGATCCTCTTCCAGCACTTTTTAACCTAAGTCTATGAAGGCACAATTTAGAAGGCATTCTTCTGTTTAATATCTGAACTTTTTTTTCCAATTTGAGGATCTCTCTGGCCTACTCTGGAACATTAATTTTTCTCTTTCCCATTGAGAAGCTAGATGTTCACAATGTTTTATTAAGAGTGTTCCGAATCAGCTAAATAAAATATTTGGATGGAGAGAGGAAGAACGAATCAAGAGGCTGGGATAGGATGGCAAAGCAGCACTCCAAATACATTTGCCTGATGAGTTTATATATCTGTCAGGTGTACAGGGTAGCCAATTCTTAAGCAATGTGATAGCAGATGAGATTCAGTTTTGATGACTAAAAGGTGATAACGGGGTGGTTTAAAGTTCCTGTGGAGGTGATGCCTTCTGAATGAATTGTGATTACACTGGCATGAAAACAGCTGCTGTGTGCAGCAGCAATCAAAAAGGCAGGGAGAGTGTTAGCCTCTTATAAAGAAAGGAATGGAAAAAATAATTGCAAATATCACAAAGACATCGTGCACGTAAGTCGCATGCCATTCTTTGAACACTGTATGCAACTGTCTAATTCCATTCAGGTAGCATATTGATGGATGCAAAATAAAAAGAAATATCTTAATTTCAGACACGGAAAGTTTTAGCATGAAGAAAAAGAAAATTATTGAAACTCATTAAGAAAAGGAGAGGAAAAATATATTCTCTCATACCTGTTTGCATTTGAAAAATATTACTACTTCCAATAACAGTAATTCACTATTCACACTTCCAATCTGTGACTCCTGAAGTGTGACAGGGATATAAAAATATTTTCTTTATTTTTAAAGAGCAAAGGGGGAAGATGGAGCTTTTTGACTTTGAGCTACAGTATCAATAAGCTATACACTCCCCTGCAATAATGGAACCTAGTTTTGAGTGGGAGGGAGGATAAAAGACTTGTGTTCTGTTACATAAAATGGGATAAATACGATTTAATGGGGGAAAAAAAAAAAGAAGAAAAACATATTGGATTTCCAGAAATCATGCTGGATTTCTGGTTCAGCAACTACCTTTGTTATAATGTGCCCTTTTCAGATCCAATTTCCTAAGAATGAGTA